CGTGGATCATATCAAATACACATAGAGTTTTGGAGAAACTGATTCTTTGGAAATCATCTGCGGTGGAAATTTTGAATAAGTGGTCTGCCAGGCTCAAGGTTTTGTTAGTCATAGATATCGACTGATTAAGTTCTTAAAAGATCTTTTGTTCAAAGATCTTTTCGTCTGTCTTTCTTTGCAACCAATCAAATTTCAGTGTGTTTTCAGCAGCACAAAGTAGGATATACTGTTATAACTCTGCTAATCAATAGATGTTCTAAACCTGAAGTTCTAGAGCAAGTAGATGTGTGATTGTGTTGAGTTTTGATAGAAGCGTGTTTTTCTTGCATGGCTGTACGAAAAATGAATTCTCAAATGGGTTTCCTCTAGATATAGAATCAAACAGCTACGGAATCAGGACTGAAACCGTGACAAAGTGAGACGGTAGCTGGTCGGGATTGGAACCGATTGACATAAGTATGTGCTCCGAGATGTACTTGGAAATATAGAAAGCTCATAAAATTTATATGTGCCACTTAAGTCTTCGTGATCTACACGTATAAAGACGAAGAATTCCTCACATCGGAGCCGTCTTTCAATGCCATTACTGTGCGTATATTCATTGTGAACGAGATCAGATGGGATAAAGATTTAGAATATGTCCGAGAATCGGGATCAAAATCGGCACGGGGCAAAATTAGTAGTTGTGTATATCTATTCCTACTAATTAGGCGTTTTAGATCTTCTCAAGCACAATGGGGTTTTGTTTGCACATATTAAGTGTGAACTTTTCCAGGCAACGCTGGGTACTTCTGCTAGTACTGCTATATTACTGACAGCATGCCACCTTTAAACAATATGAAAAAAGCATTTTATCCCATGGAACAAATAAGAATTCTTAAAGTAACTGAAAAATATTTAACAGAACTTCTTCTCTTTTTTATATCAAAAAAATAGCACAAAAATGAGTTTCTTCTAAGTAAGAAAATTGAATTACAATTAGACAGTTTTGTAAAATGAGTAAATTTCTGATGGGATACTTAAAGAATTCGCTAGTATTGAAGTACAATAATGAATCTTATAGAGAGCGCTCTTCATCAATCACAATATGGTGATTTAGTTGGGTGTGGTATCCTAAAAAAATTAATTGGCATCTCAGCACCTGCTCAGCACCTCAGCACCTGTCCAGCACTTTTCGGTGCTGGGTGCCAGCACTTACCCTCTTGAGTTTTTAAGTGAATACTGAAAAAAACGCGTTTCTTTTTATCATAGCAATTAAAATCGATTACATTTTAGTTAAAATGCAGAAATCAGGTTAAAATCTTATTTTTGCCATCATTTTTCTGCATGAGACAATTTTTAATTAGGAGTTAAAGTAAGAATTTCATTTCACTTTCATTTACTAAAAGTTTTCTGAAGATGCATCTCCACATACTAATCGTGAATTCTGATTAACTGATATTCCATTCATGATCATATATTAAGAACTTATACCATGATCTGAGTCTGTAACTAGCGTCTGCTACGACCTGTGATGGTTTGAATGAGAAATGTTCGATGTTCATTGTCATGCCTGTGTGAGAGACGGAAGGGAAGGATGAGAATCCAAAATATCTACGCTATAAACTTCGGCACACTTTTCAGATCGTTTTTCACAAAGCACAAAAAACATTGAGATATTCTCGATGAAGATTTCATTGAAAATTTTCATCCTGCAAGCTCTTGGAGTCTGATGATTTTGATAGTCATTTTTGAAAATGACATGCATGAAACTCTTTTCTAATTGATTACCAATCATTCAAGTCAAAACTATAAAAGTGTTTTCTTTCATTGGTTCGTGAGTGTGGGTGGGTGTCAGCAGTGTCCAACGACTGAGAAATAGGAATTCCTAATGTGCCGAGGAATTATCAGTGTCGCTGTGATAATTCCTAGAGGAAATGGGAATCAACTATCGGTTCCCTCACAGTTCCACCATTCACGAAATTCGCGATATTGCTGTTTTAAAAATAATTTTTTTTCCATGAAATTATTGATTCTCACAATTTTGCAAGTGAACATGAGTGTAAGAACAAAAATTATCGTGAATATTCCATATTTTTACCTTTAGTATGCAAGGAACTGTGGGGGAACTGATGAGGAATTCCTAATCCTCAGTCCTTGGACACCCCTCGAATAGAGAAGACAAAATTTATCTTTGATAACCTTGGTTCTTTCGAACGTTGAAAAAACATGAAATTCATGATGATCGATAATTCTATTATTGAAAAGCAAATTTGCTTTTATTTTGAGTGTGATATTCGATATTTTTTGATCGAGATGTGCAATAATACTGATTCGATCGCTGAAAAATTCACACCAACGACCATAATAAGTGGGTGGACATAGGCACTGATTTTCATTCATTTCAGAAACAACGTCATCTCGATTACATTGATATGAGTGCGCTTTGAAAGACTGAGGATTTCGAAAGTTGATGATCGATTTTCATAGCTGCTGTAAGTTATAGTTTGTAACTGTAGACCAAATTATAAATGTTCTATCGGCTTCTTTGCCAATAAATGCAATACTTGCTATAATAACAATGTAAAAGGAAAGAAAAATAAAAAGTAAGACGCTTCAAAAATAAACAGAACATCATTGAAAATAAACTTTGATTCAAAAAAAAACACAAATAATATAAGAAATGTTTTTTTCGGCTAGGTGTTTATCTTAGAGAACAACAATAGTCTATCGCATATGTGAGGCTAGAAAAGAGATGAAATTTTCATTTTAGCTCAATACTATTCAAAATTTGTGATTATAAATTGAGATGAATAGCCTGTGACAATTTTTAAATCCGCACGACTTGTATAAGTACATTGAATTTTGACCCAAGTAAAACAACGCTAGTTTTAATGATGACATTTTTTAACATGCTCATAAATTATTGTTATTTTTTATGGAAAAATACTGCATCTAAAAATAAGAATCAACATCATTTTTCTTTGTCGATATATGTTGTTCGATTATGGCAATCATCTCTGGATGGTTTCACATGTAGCTTTTGTTTTTATATTGAGTGAAACATTCAATAGTGTTCAAATTCCGCGAATTCTGAACTCGTGAGGAAATCTAAACTCAATAATCAATTAATACAGATGGATACTAAGAAAAAAGCAACACAGGACAGAAGGAACTGAAAGAACAATGTATTTCAAATTCCATTCAAAATCGGATTATAGTGGTCCTATTATAACCTCAGTTTCATCAGATTTTTTAGGTTTGAAAGAAAATATTATTTTGATATCCTATAATCAATTTTAATTGATTACCTATAATATTATTATAATCGATTAAAGTTGTTTATAATAGATTGTTAAAAAATCGAAACCAAAATGATATTGTCTTTCAAACTTGAAAAGTCTGGCGAAAATCCGATTCTAAAAGTGACGTTAAAACCGAATTCGAATCGAATATTAAATCCAAAATTGTTATCTCGGTCCACATTTGCATTACATGATTATCACCAATCAGTTGAAGATGTACTATTAAAATCTGAAGCATTTTTCTTTCGAGATGAACACCTAAGGTGCCTCAGTATTCTTGAAACGCATTTTCCTATGTGTTTCTTACGTTCTTTGGATCCTGTGAGTACTCGTAACTGTAAAACTTGACGCTTCAATTCAACTGAGGTTTCAAGTTTGACCTTTCGTCTTAAAATCTCCATGAGGATGTCACAAATCGACTTACATTGGATATCTCAAAGCGAGAATGACGCCATCGTCTAAGCATTATTACTACTCCCTCTGTTTTCAATATATTCTTTGCTTGTAATGATCTTGTGTTCATATATCTAGTATGTCTTGGGGTCCCTAGATCTCCGGCTTCTCCAATATTTTCAACAGCTAGCCTGTAGAAAGTTGCGACTTGAAAGTTTCAAGTTGAAGTGCCAGTGGGAATTTGAAAATTCAACACAATCCAAGTTCTCAAAATTACAGAGAACAGGGGCGCTCTTGCAATCAATTCTCTCTTTCTTTTTAAAATTAACTTTCTCTTCCTCTCGATTGCTTCAATTAAGTATTGAAAAAATATTTTTATGGTTACCTTTTTCCGAGAATCGATTTTATTTGTCTCCTTTCCAATGACACCCCTCAATAGCTTAAGATTCACAGCATTATTTGACTAATGAAGAAAGAAAAATAGAGACCGAAGAAGTATAGTAACAGCTCAAGAGAGAAATGAAAACAACATCTTTTTCTGATAATTGAAAATTTTCATCAAAAACACAAGCTTACAAGCACACAAAATAAAGGTTGCTAGTTTGATGGTTGAAATCATCCAAACGCGTATAACCATTACTGGATTATGGTTATTTGTTATTATCCAGCTAACAGGTATGGTTATCTTCGATAGTCATTACGAAAAACGTTGTCTAGAGAGAGAGATCATAGTTCGTTAAGCATCATTGAATACTTCGAATTCAAATGCCTAAAGAATTTTAGAAAGGCAAATCAAAATTACGATAGACGAATATTGAAATCGAATTCTTCCTATTACCAATTAGAACTATAGAACAATTTTTTCTATTTCCATGTTGCATATTATACTTTTAGAGTTTCTATTAAGATTTTAGTTTATTTTTATTCAAAATGTCTATCATTGTTTGTTTGCTTGCTTGATCGGTGTCAAAAAAACATATATATATATATATGTTAGCTTAGTTTAAGACTTCTGACCGTTTGACGGACCTTTGCTATAGGTTATCGAGGGCTCTGAATCCGAATCCGGAGACCATTTCTTCGGCCGAGGTTTCATTGATCAGGAGTTGATCAATCAGAAACGAACTTTCTTAATCTAAGACTTTTCGTCATTTTGATGGAACTTTGCCGTAGGTTATCGACGATGAGTAATCCGACTCTGAAAACAGGATTTCAAAGTTCAGATCTCGACTCTTTTCGTTCTATGAGAATTGATGCTGACAAACTGCAAGTACATTGTAGTGCGTGATAGCAGTGTAATGAATCAAGAAATACGAAGATAAAATGGAATTAGCGGCTAACCGTGAATGGTCTGCCTTCGGGAGGCCGACGAACAACTAACTGCCATCAAAATAGGTTTACAAAAAAAAGTTTTTGTGACATTTCTGCATAACATCGAGCAAGGGTCTTAGAAAAGCGCCACTGAGGCTGAATCAGTGACAGTTTATGTATAGAATGACTCCTATTAACATGGAGAAACTCGAGAGACGAGGAGTGTACATTGAAAATATATCTTGCTTGATATAGGAAATCTAGTACTCTTTAGTAACGCGTAGAGAAACTTTTGAAACAGTTGAAGTGCGAATCAGCAATGCCTTGAATAAAAAAGTAGTCAAATTGTGAAAATATGTTCCAAGATGATAGTAGCTACGTGCGAGTAGCGCCACGTCGGAGCTCCGGCAGTGAAATATAATAGCTCCTATTTCAATTTCACGATTTTTTTGTGAAATATGGCCTACCCAGGTCGTAGAGGTACGGTGGGAAACGACCGGAAAACACGAGAATTCGCTGGAAAGTGGAAGCAGTATTCCGGCCGGAAAGTCCTGGATTTTGTTTTCGATGGATTCCGTTCAACTTCCAGTGCTTTTCAGCAGGAACCGACAGTAAATCATCTGGAAAAACTCCGAAATTTTTCTGACCGGAATACGGTTATTTTTCCGCATCTTTCTGGCCGGTTCCTACAGTGTGGGTGTGGGTGGGTGTGAGTTGGTGTGGGTGGGTGTGAGTTGGTGTGGGTGGGTGTGGGTGGGTGTGGGTGGGTATGGGTGGGTGTGGGTGTTTAATCTCCTACACCCCACACCCACACCCCGACTTAGTCATATTTCTAGCAAATTCTATGTCAATGTAGCTGACATATCAGTATTTTCGTGGAAACTTCGTATTCCTAGGTGCGGGCATCCATTTTCTATTCATTCACAATCTTTATTAACTGCAACATGTAATGCAATACTAGAGGTATTTATCGTTTCAGTTGCTGTCGACCCTATTGTTTTCTATTCGACCACTCTGAAGAGTCAAGGTTTAGGGCAGTATACCGGTAGTACTCAAGGTGGAACTTTGCTCTGGATATTTGGTACTGGTTTTGCCCGAAATGGCTTCAGTGTTCTACCATCTATAGTAACTACGAATATAGTACAGCTAGTTAATAATTATACTGTCTACGATTGTGTCCTACAAACTGAAAAATGCACTGATACTCAATTGGCATGCTATACCGTAGCGATGCCTGCAGGATCATATATCGTTCAGATATATGTTAATGGGATTTTAATTCCGGCCTCTCAATACAGAAATCCGAGTTATACAATTTTTGTATCGAGTGTGCGGAATACACCAATCATTAGAGGCATTTCGCCGGCATCCGGTCTACCGCAACGATTGGTTACAGTATCGGGTGACTTCAAATCATCATGTTATTCACGCGATGTTAATGGCTGCTCGCGGGATAGTGATACACTTATTGTTCGGTAAGATATTTAATGATTGATCATTACCTTTCTATGTTGAACAACGATAAATCTAGTATCTACATTGGCGGTCAACTTTGTAATTTGATTAACTCTATCGATGATAATCCGTAAGTTCCTTCTATTTGAATTTCTAACTAGATGTGAGTTTGATTTTAGCTACTCAAGGGTGAACAATACACAACTTCAATGCCGTTTTGAGAGCAATGAAGTTGGTAAATAACGTTTCTTTTCTAAGCAAATGAATAGCAAAATATTGTTCAATACATGTCTTTTGTCAATAGGAATATTTAACGTCACAATGATTGTTAATAATCAATACGGTCGTTCTTCAACTGCTGTCAATCTATATCAAATGTCTGCCACTGGTCAGCTGTATAATTTTCGAAGTCATGCACGTATGTCTATTTTTCGTTGTATAAGTCGAATTCAACATAGTTTAACTATTTCTTAGTCATTTCAAATGTATCACCGGACAGTGGAAGCACACAAGGTGGTACCATTTTGACTATTAGTGGTCAATATTTTAGTAATAGTAGTCGATATCCGGTGGATGTTAATGTGGGTGGCGAACCTTGTACTATTTTGAGTTCAAATCTGACTACTATTCGTTGTCAAATATCTATGGAACCTATGGACAATCGAACATACTATCACGGTGAGTTCACTGTCAAATAGAGAACATTTTTTTTTTAAATTTTTGGTAATAGGTGGTCGTGGTCTGCATATATACAATGAGAATCGTTTCATTGACCTGGTATTATAAATTTATGAGTTCTTTCTATAAGGTCTGATTGCTATTCTTGTCGATTGTATAGAGCACTCTAGGCAACGCGACACCTCCCATGCCAAGTGTCAATGCTACTAAGACATGGACAGAAGAAGCTTCCATTGCTAATCAATTTTCGTCGACAAGTACAGTATGGCTTATCGGACTTCTACGTCCACCAATAACAGCTACATTCACTTTCCGATTGCAAACATATTCTAATGCTATTCTATATTTAAGCGCGGATGAAAATCTAGACAATGCTATCCAAATTGCGAATTCTATTAGTTCAAACTTAGAGTCAGTTCCACAAATACTTTATAATAATACAAAGTCAGTCAAATAAAACATTGAAAAAAGAATAACATTAAAATATAATTTTATGTAGCTATTTCATGTTGTGCATAAGCTCGACATATAGAAACTATGTCCAATTGTCAATTAGTGCAAGTATGCTGGAAGTAGCATCCACCGCAGGAGATACTGTTTCGAGTTCCAACACCATTCAACAAATTCAAATTGGCAATTCTACAGTTTCGGAGCATCAGGTAGACTAATTTTGTTATCATCACGAGAATAGATACTTTTATTTTTCAAACAATCGACGTACCCGTACACCTAGACTGCAGATTGAGATAAATAGTTTCTGTTTTCTTAAACAATATGTACTCTCCACTGCAGAACTACGTACACATTGGTAGATATAATATAAATATGCCTAAAGTTCATCAGAACTAAATATTATTATTCGAGGTTGCAAATTTAAAATTTCATTTCTTTAACATTAGTATGTAGAAAACTAATTCTTTGAGTTGTAGATAACAAGTCACTTTATTTAGCATATCAGTTAAAGCAAAATTTAATTGAAATGCTTGTCGATTGTCATGTATCTTTTCAAATTTTAATGAAAATGATTTTCTCTTAAATATAACTAAACGAAAAAGAGTAATTATAGTCAGTCAACAAAGAAACTGATAACCCATCGTTGAATGATCATTTCTGATCATATTTTTGTCTATTTTATTTTAATTTAAAGCAAATTGTCTACACAACTAATTCGATAAACAGTGGAATATCTGAAGTTCAAACAATTCCTGTTATTACTCAATCATTTCAAATAGGCTTCGAAGGTGTATATACAGGTTTGTTTTAGCAAGTTTTATTTTGCAAAATCTGAACATTTAATACACATAAAAATCAATGTTTAGCGATGATTGAAGGAGCATCATATGCCAGCACTGTTGAAGATGCTTTAAATGACTTACCAAACATTTATCCTTTAGCAGTCTCAGTTCAACTTGTGCATATCACATATGAAGTGACTTTTCCGATTGAAATGGGTGATGTTTCACTATTAACCATTATATCAACCGCATTCAACAGTCCACAAAATGCAACAGAAACAGTGCAAGGCCTTGCATCAAATACAAAACTGGCATTTCGATTAGATGGAGCCACAACTAAATACTTTGATTTTTCAAACGATGTTATAACAAACACAATGCTTACAAATGCATTTGATCAATTATTTACCATTCGATGTCCACCATCACTCAACAATCGTCAAGCCATATCATCCATAGTCTATGTCAATGAATTTGAAACCGGAACTGTGTATAATGATTCAAATAGCATCACAGATATGGCATTCTGTGGCCGAAATGCACTCACGGCTGGCTATCTGGTTATACGGAATGGGCAATATGCTGACTATATGTGTTTTGCATACAAGGTTCCACCAAATAGCGGTGGTTTTAGTATGATTTTCTATGTTCAAAGTGACGGAGATTCATCGACCAATACATACGAGTATATAAGGATACAGTTCATTCAAGACGGGTATTGGCATTATACATGTATCAATATACTCGATACATTCCAACAACATTCGCCTACGTACTTGAGCGTATCTATGATTCTTATTATGAGTGTGTATGTAGATACATCAATATCACCTGGCAGGATGTTTGATACAGTTACTTTACGTAATTCGATGCCTAATGGTTATGAGGATGAAACTGTTGCCAATACGACTGATCAATCATCAACAAATCAATGCACCTTTCCCTTTGTTTATAACAATCGAGCATACACCCGATGTACGATTGATGAAAGCAACATGCCTATCTGTGGTTTGACTTCAAATACAACATCCTATTGTCAGAATTCATCTATTGGAGGTGTCCGACGACTCTATCCAAAATATCAACTAATTTACAATTCACTTAGTGTGACACATTCAAGCCCAAGTCACACGATTGACATATTATTTCGTTACACGGCATGTGCATCCCCAACATTGATCGAACCATTACCTTCCACAGTGAGTTATTCATTCTCTTTATAATAAGATAGCGACTATTATCCTATTGGTTTTAGATTGCTAACGTGACTTCGATCACTAATGCATCGAAAGCCATCGGTGGAGTTTATGATATTATGTTCAATCAACGTATATACAAATCGATTCCAGCGAAAATAACTGGAGCCGATTTGACCAATCTTCTTCAATCTTTGCCTGGTTTCGGTTATGTTGTTGTTGTTGCCGTAGGGGAATGTGCAGCATATTCATACAACATTCGATGGTTAGTAAATGCCAAACAGCCACCAATAACGATTGTCAATGCAAGTGAAGTGACACCAGTTGGAACACCACTAACAGTTTCAACAGTACAAAATGGTAGTAGTATATTTTACAAGCTTCCCGTTGATATGTTACGAACATGGCATACAATTCCTCAGGTAAATTTACTGATTTGTTCTTTGACTTCATAGAATTGATTGGGTGCATAGGTTGAAGTTGTCGTTGGTGGTTATTCATCCTACTGTTCAAAACCAAACAATGATTGTCCATTTCAATGGTCAATTCAGCAAACACCGATTATATATGCAGTAGAACAGAATGAAACCACTATTATGATTGATGGCATTGAATTTGGTTCAACAGTTGAATCGAATTTAGTTTCAATTGGTGATAGTGGTTCATGTAATGTTACAGAAGTCAATGAGACATCAATCATTTGTACAATTATTAATGCACCATCTGGCTCACAGATTGTACAAGTTTATGTTATTAATAAAGGCTTTGCATCGACTAACGAAACTTTCACAGTTGTCGTTCCTTTAACGATAATTTCATTTCATCCGGTTCGTGGAGCAGCTGGTGGAGGCTATCCATTAACTATTATAGGAAGTGGTTTTTCATCAACTGCTTCAGTCACTATCGATGGAGGCCCATGTAAGAATTCTGTTATAGTTAATTTTTCATCGATAACATGCATCGTGCCACCTATTACGAACGTTAATAATGGTCAGGCAGTTGTAACTGTCATTGATGGAATGTATGCTGCTAATGCATCGGCATATTTTGTTTACAATATATTCATGACACCAACCATCTTGTCAATAAGTCCAGCTTTTGTAAATATGAATGGCGGACTATTAAACATCACAGGTGTGGGCTTCGGCAATAGCTCAGTTTCAGTGTATGTCGGCTCAAGAATTGTTTCTGTTTTGTCATCATCTTCCAATCAAATTCTAGTCAACCTAAATTCTTTATCACCTGGACTCTATCCTGTTACTGTCAATACACCGACGGGTTTTGCTCGGCCTCTTGTCTATATAGAATATCGGTTTCATGTGCAAAATATTTCCCCCCAAGTTGGTTCTTTGTATGGTGGCACTGATATCTCTGTTGAAGGCGAAGGATTCGACAATTCCACAGTTGTCCGATTTCGTGATCAAGATAATCGTATCTTACCATGCAGTATTGTTTCAATGCAATCGACTTATATTAATTGTCAAACAACATCTCTTGTATCTCAAGTAACAATTACAGCAAACGGTGTTGATTTTGTTTGGTCACCTAGCCGTCAAACAGTGCAACAAGGTACTATGGTCACTTGGCAATGGAACTCTTCAACACGTCCGTCACGTCTTACATACAAAGTCTTACAAGTAGAAAATGTATACAGTAGCCAACCAGTAGCTGACGGATTCGATTCCGGTTCAGCCACAGCATCTGGTAAGAACTCTACTTTAGATTTAAAGTATATGTTCATTGTTATTCTCTAGGTTCATTTTCATACCAATTTCATACAATAGGCACCTATTATTACTTGTCTCCAGACGTCGATTATAGAGGAGGAACTTCCATAAGAGGTATCATTGATGTAGTTTCATACACAAACAAACTGCTAACGGTAGAAGTGATGTGGAAAAACTTCACTGGTAGATTCTTATATTGATCTATTTTCTCATGTAGCTAACTTTCATTTTATAGCTCAAATATGTGTCTTCCCATTCACGTTTCATTCGGTCAGCTACAATGTGTGCACATCGGTGAATGACACTCGACCCTGGTGTTCTCCAACATCAGAATATATGGGCCAACGACTCTATTGTACATCAGGTAGGTCGTTCTGAAACTAAAAGTTTTGTTCAAACTTTAGAAAGTATGATTCATTTCGTGATACAGTTTAAACTCGACTTTTAAAACGTTTTGGTGCATACACCGATAAAACTAGTGCAACATTTGCTTATATTACTCAGGTCAAGATAAATATAAATGAATTTTTAGACTTTCGAACTGTGGGCATGGTTAAATTTCTAATTTTCGAGCGGAGATTTTTCTTTTTCTCGTAAAATCGCATCCATTGAACTTTATAAACGACGGTGAGAGATATTTCAACAAACGCCTCTACTCTTGATGGATCTTTTTTTTTGTGAACTAATAGTTGATATAGATGAGGATTTCAATATATCACCTATGAAAAATTACATAACTATGCATGAGTTAGAAGGTTTTCATCTCCACAAAGCCTAGTCTGAGTCATAATACTGATCTCATTGTATCATCGATTTTATGCCCATCGGTAATCTAAATATGCAATACATCTTCAAATATCAAAGTATTCTCACATAATTATATATATATATATATGTTTTATTCAACTATAGCGTCTAACACATCATGTTCGTCGTACATTCTTAATACAACTTCATGTGGCCAAAGTACAGCTGATGTAAGACATCCAACGAGTTTCATTGCCAGACTTTGTACAGTTGAATCGATCGTTTCCCTGTCACCCGTTGAAGGAGCTGCCGGGACATTTTTAACAATCAAAGGTATTCGATATTCGAAGCTTGTATGTTCGCTTAAAAATAATAATTTCAGGCCTAAACTTCAGTGGACAAATGAATGAATATGACATTCAAATTGGACCCTCATACCATTGTCCAATAATAAATATTTCATCGACTACACTCCTATGTCAAATAACAGTAAACTCAACACTCAATGCTGCAATCAATCAAAGTGTTCGCGTCGCTCGTGCTTGCCAAGGCTATCTCGGAAGTAATGGTTTGTTGCAATTTAATTTTAAAGCATCGATCTCAAGTATTTCTCCGTCAATGGGTAATAGTCATTTAGAATATTTATATAATGATATTCAATTTGTTATCTTTTTCATTGCTTCTATTCTCAGGTTCAATCTATGGTGGTACTCAAGTAACAATTAATGGTGATGGGTTCAATCCAAAATATACACGTATGTTCATTGCAAATGTCGACTACACGAACATGACAACTGTATCATATTCTCAAATTATCTTTATCACTCCATCGCAATCAACATATCAAAATTACAATCTGACTGTGTTTGTTCTAGTTGGCATAAATGAAGCCACATGCTTGACGCCACCATGCCAATATTCTTGGGCAACAAGTGTAACACCGTATTTAAATTCAGTAATTCCGTCAGTTACTCAAAATTTGACTACATTTACACTGAGTGGTGGAAATTTCTTCGGTGGTACAGGAACAATTCTTGGTACACGAGTGAATATTGACAACATTGCTTGTAATATCACTGCAATGACAAACGAATCAATCACATGTTTTAGGACGGATGTTGAAGTCGGTCGACACAATTTTGTTGTATCAATCGAAGGTCTGTTATTTTATTAATGATTAGTAGGAAAATAAAATGCATATATTGATTAATTTTTAGGCGTTGGAAATACTAACACATATACAAGTGTCATATCACAACTGTATATATCCAGTATATCACCAACAACAAGTGGTGTCTATGGTGGCATTATATTGAATATAGCTGGATACGGTTTTTCAAGTGATATAGAACGAATTCAAGTAACAATTGGCTCAAATTTATGTCCTGTGATACAGACCGCAAATACTGAAATTCAGTGCATCATCCCCGCTCAGCGCACAAGTACAAACCCGGCAGGTGTTTATGTCGTTTCGAATGGAATCAGTGCTGCCGCACCATCGTTAATTAGCTATAATGACACAACTACACCGCATGTGACCTCTGTTGATCCTACATCAGGCAGTACCTCACAAGTATTGAATATTACAGGTGAAAATTTCATTAATGGACAAACAACTGTTCGAGTTGGAAATAGTCCATGTATTATTTCAAATCTATCGGTAACACTAATTACATGTACTCGTGCTGTAGGCACAGCAACAGGCTATTATCCTGTCATTGTAAATGTTAATACAATCGGCGATTCAAACGCTGATGTATTATTTTTTAGTGAAATTTCAATTACTAATGCAACACCGACGGAATCTAGCTATGGTGGTGGCCTTCTAGTCACAGTATTCGGCGATGGATTCAATGACACCAATGTGAATATTAGTATATGCAATCAGATTTGTACATCATTAGTTATTCTTTCTAATAACGAACTCACTTGTATTACACCGTCGATTACACCTGTTGTAACAAATACTTCATGTAATTTAACAGTTACCATCCATAATGTAAGTAGCAGCATACCATTTGTCTATAGTTCTGATTTGACTGCAACATTGATATCTGTGAGCCCGACAAGAGCTGGAACAGGAGGTGGAACAATACTCACAATCAATGGCAACAATTTTCCGTGAGTAGTTTTGCAAATATTGAATTCTTTAGGTTATCGAAGTTTGATTATTTTCCGTGCGCAGAAACTCCACAGATGCATTGCTAGTGACGATTGCAGGCGTCATATGTTCAGTACAAACAAGTAATAGCACCTGTATAACATGCCAGACAGGCAGTTATGCACAATCGAGCATCATAGCTCCAGTAATGGTATTTATTAATGATAGTGGCTATGGAATTGGCCTAGTAAGCTTTCAATATATTGATCTTTGGTCGAGTCCGTGGACATGGGGTGGAAATGACCCACCCGATACCGGTAGTCTTGCCTCGATTGACAGTGGAGTAACAATCTATTTTGATACAATAACACCCACTTTGAAAGTCCTCCTCATCGACAATGCAACGCTAATCTTTGACGATGCACAAGATGTGGCTCTAAATACTGAATATATTGTGATTGTCAACGGTGGTTGTCTTCAAATCGGTACTGAACAAAATCCATTTGAACATCAAGCAGTCATTACTATGTATGGACAGCTGCGATCAATCGAATTACCTATCTGTAAGTAATACACACATGTGCATTTTAATTATCTAATCATCATTTGCTCTCTACAGTTGGAGCCAAAGTATTAGCATTGCGTGGAGGTACAGTTGATATGCATGGGAAAACATCTGTTCGAACGTGGACAAAACTTAGAGCCACAGCCAATAATGGCTCAGTGACAATTACTCTTTTAGAACAAGTCGATTGGCCGATTGGTAGTCAGATTATCATTGCCACTACGGGTGATTCTTTCAGTCAACAAGAGAGCGAAGTTCGTCAAATAACAAATATATCATATGATGGATTGACATTAACCCTAAATGAACCATTGGCATACACTCATTTAGGTATTTCATTAGATTTAAATTCGACATTACTTGATATTCGTGGCGAAGTTGGCTTGCTATCACACAATATCATTTTTCAAGGTAAAAAACCAACAATTTTTGAATGATGAATGAAAGAAAAAAGTTTTTTTGAAAGGCTCCACAAGCAGTACATGGACTGAAACAATATCGGCATGCCCTGACGGGTTTAATCCTGGTAGGATCTCTTTAAAAATTAAATCAGGAACATTCTTAATCTAACATTTGCGGTTCATATCGCATAGTACTACATATAGATTTAAAATAGAGTACTTGCAATAGATTGCAATCGATAGAGCCTTTTTCATGCTATGCTAAATAACAAATAGACAAATAATTTTGTATTATTGAATATACAGATCCATTTGCCGTACAAACATGTTATTTGGGTCGATATGGCGAAGAGATTGGGTCTGATCAGTTTGGCGCAACAATAATGGCTAGTCAAGACCTGTCCATTTCTAATGGCTCTCAACTAGTTATTCTACGTTTATCGAACGTTGAAGTATGTCTTTGATGATTTTACTTTTTTTATATTTCTAAAACATCTATCTTCAGATTTTTAATGTCGGTCAAGCTTTTCGTCTCAGCCGTTATCCAATTAATTTTCACATAAATGGAAATATGAGTATGTCTTATATTAAATCATCATCAGTGTATTTATCATTCAATCGAGCAATCAATATTGAGGCTAGCAATTACATCACCATTGAAAGCAATGTCCTCTACAATATTATGTAGGATTATGATGTTCACAAGAATCATTCATTCGATTTCTTCTAATCTATTTGTAGGGGTGAAGCCATGTCACTTGAAGATGGCGTTGAAATTGGTAATGTGTTCAGAAATAACTTGGTTGTTTTTGTTCGATCAAGTTCTAGTCTTTTGAATGAAGAAATGACGCCAGCTGCTTTCTGGGTAAGATAATAATTCAGAATATCTCTTATAATTATTTTTTATAATAGTTGACTAATCCCAATAATACTGTTGAATATAATGCAGTAGCTGGTAGTACACACTATGGATATTGGTACCGATTGCTTAATACAGCTGATGGAGCGTCATTAACGCAGTATCCCAGTTATGAGCCTTATAAGCAACCATTTGGCCACTTTTATAATAACAGTGTACACAGTTCGGGTCGATTTGGTGTGTGGATCTATCCGCAGTACTCACCGAACAATCCAGCCTTTTTTGATGGATTAATCTCATGGAAAAATAACAAAGGCTTCGAATGGGTCATGTCAAGTAGGATTCAAATAAGAAATGCACTGACCTTTGACAATTTGGATACGGGCATATCTTGCGTAACTGCTATTAACTATCAAGAAATCAGCATTCCTGGCTACAACAATAGAATATCCTGTGGTGTGGATTATGACTCGTCTGTGACAAATAGTGTTATTATTGGTGATTCGGGTATTTCATTCAATCCGATCATTCCATCAACTGCTGGTCTAGTAGGTAAGCAAATGGTATCATTGATTTTGACATTAAAAAAGCAGAAAAAAAATCTTACTCTAAGTTTTCTAACAAACAGATTTGGTTAGTAATAAGTAATTAATTATAATTGATTGAGCATAAACTATATTCGGTAGACGTAATTTTATTAAGATACTGGCACATTATATTAATTATAGTTTCAAAAATATGAGTACTAAGATAAGATTTCACGAAGAAAGGACTATAATGATATAATAAATTATAATACGCACAATTGAAATAACTGAAAGATTACATTATATATGTTAGTCTATTTTTATCTGTAACACATGTGCTCTATGCAAGTTACACAAGGATAATCTCATGAAAAACAAATGAATCATTCTATTTATTTGAATGGTCGTGATCAACATAATTTGTTATTATTGAGTCAGTAGTTTAAATTTGAAATATGTGCTCGTCTATATTCTATTGAGACGCTGAAATTTTTTCGCTATGTAGTAATGTGGGATCGTGGTCTTCATGTTAACAACGTTGTCTTCATAAACTTTCCAAGTAACCAAATACCAGCTATTTATGGACCGACAATCATCGGTCAATGTACTGATCGATGTGGAGGTAGGAAAAGAATTGCTCCTTCTGTCAGTAACAATAATCGTTTGTCATCTTAAAACATAGGTTGGATGACAGAATTCTCAAACATATCGTTTATTAACGTTACGCTTCGTGGCAAGTTTCGATGGACATATGATGGTATATATCTCGATGATGATGGATCACTTGGCGGACAGCCTAATTCAATCATTACGGCACCAGACAGCATCATGAATAGCTCATCATCGTGTACACCGGTGCCAAACTTTGAAAATGCTATTCAATGTTCGTCATCAATGGGTTCATGGCTCCAATTTTCATTGACTACAAATCCATATTCTTGGCAATATTCTAATAACGGGCCATTGATCGTTTCTTCCGTTGAAACAAATCTTTCCACCACTTTACCGTGGCTTGCACAACAACTCACACATCCAAAGGGCTATACAATGACATTACAGTCAAATCAAACGTACTATATCAGTTTCAGTTCTCTCGCAGTAAGTTGGAAACTTCTTTTTTTTTTAATATCAGCTTTTTGTTTTATCCATTTCGCATCTAATTAGTCGTGGAATTCGATAATCTATTGGGGCACTTTGTATGATGTTCCTCCAGGCGACTATATTATCATTCAACACAACGTCACAGGAATACCATCAGCTGCAGTAGGACAGCAATCACTCGCACCACTCTCAGGATCAAACAGTAGTAACGGTAATTGGTACTATGACAGTAACAATACCATGTTTTTCTATATTCGTATGTAAAACTTGGATTCGATTCGTTCTTTTTTCCATGCTAGTATATTTAGTCAAAAACGTTGGAACAACACGATGTGATTTAGATATATGGTTTCAGTTATCGATATGTGCATGTCCAAATTGCATTTGTCAGCCTGTTACAACCCCACCACAACCTGGTAACGAACCGAATACGACTCAAACGGTAAGCATACATTCGTTTGTGTACTCAAAAAAAAATGAGTACACTATAGAATCGGTCAGTGTGTCCGGCCGTCCGGCCGTCCGTCCGTTTATTCGATAACTCTTGACAATTACATTCGATTGAGCTGACATTTTGTGCACAGAATTGTCTCATCAATATCTAGGTCGAGTTCGAAGATGAGAAGGATCCGTCAAGAGATGGCTGAGTTATCAAAAAAATTGTCATTTTTCATCAGACCATCCTTGAGGGGGAGAGTACAGGGATTTTTGAAAAAAACATTTTTCTCAGAATTATCCACAACATATATAAATCGACTCAGTTTTTAACGCTGATTCCGAATTTGATATTGGTTTTGAACGAAATCGTAGCTTTCTAACGAAGCATCGCCTGAAAAGGTCTCAAAATGCACAAAAACTGCATCCAGAAATCAAATTTCCTAGTTTCTCATGATAACTTTGTGTTCAGACATTCTAGAATGACTCATATGTCTCATGCACTTTTTGCAGTACACATAACTCTCGGATGAAATCTGAAGTTTCCACATTTATTTGAGGAATATTCTGAATCTTACTCATCTACGCTATGCTTCCCATTTCACTCTAATTTGCACATTACATGATCGCCAGTACGATGACGAAATTGATGTTCAATCGTAATTAAAAGATGTGAAGACTCTTTGAGTAATGAATAATACTTTCATTTTGAATGAGAAAGAAGTCCTTTTCAATATCAGCTTATATAGAATGTGATAAATGAGCTTTCGGTACCCACGTAGCCGATTTTAGGAAATAATGGACATTGCAATGCATTATTTTACTATAGGAATGCAATGTATGCAATTACATGATAATGCAACCTATTTAATGCATTATAATGTATTTGTTTTTAGAATAATGCATTATAATGCGTTGGAAACTTCTTATTCGGCACTTGCTACATAAGATCTATAAAATCCTATTAAATCGATATCCCGATTACCATAATTGTATCTCTGTGATTCTGCACATCTATCCCCTTAACTTAACCCCTTAACCTTAATCTATTAACTTATCTATATCTATCCCTTAACCTTAATCTATTAACTTATCTATATCTATCCCTTAACCTTAATCTATTAACTTATCTATATCTATCCCTTAACCTTAATCTATCTCTCTAACTTAACTTAACCCTTAACTTTCATCGGCCCTCTTATATATATCCATCCCATAGTGTATCATCTTGATCATATAGATAAGAATCTAAAACAAAAGAAAATTAATGAATAAATAAGTTTATTATTATTAAATTCGAACTTACCATTTCGATCATAATCGATATCAATCTAAAGCATAGGAAAAATAAATAGAAATAATTTTAATATTGAATTGTAACTTACCATTTCGAGCAGATTGATAAAAATCTAAAACAAAAGACAATGAATAAATAATTTTTTTGTTACTGAATTCAAACTTACCACTTGGATCATGTTGAATTGTAGTTGAAAGCGAACACAGTTGAAAAACGTATATATGACATAAGACTGTTTCAATTAGGGGTGTACAGCTCACGCTCATGAGCGAGAGCGTTTGTATGCCATCGAATACATGATCGATTCTGATCATTTGTATCTAGTCGATTCCTCGAAAAACTGCATTCACACTTTTTGTGCCTATAGTACCCCTCAGGTATCGCGATTGCAATTTTTTTTTATTAATCAGTCAGAATCATATAAACTTGAAGGTTTAGTGGTGCCGATGAAGAATATTATCATCATACCTCTAAAAAAACATTCATTCTTGAAATATCTCTAATCACTCTGTGAACTCATTCCCCAT